AGTTTAAACCGTATGTCAACATGTCGAGTCGAAGTGTCAAACTTGGATCTGTATTGTCAAACTTGTGTGCGTATTGTCAAACTCGTGTGGAATATTGTCATTCTTGATTGTGATATATTCTGCCAGTGTCAAACATGAATTCTCACTGTCAAACTTGGTTGCTACAAAATAGAAAAGTGACAAACTTGGATTCTCATTGTCAATCTTGATTGCAACAAATTTAGATTGTGACAAACTTGGATTCTCATTGTCAATGTTGGTTGTTACAAGATAGAAAAGTGACAAACTTGGATTCTCATTGTCACTCTTGATGATAACATTGTCATTCTTGTCTGCTCACTTGTCAAACTTGCACGGGAAAAGGTGTAGTACTGCAAACTCGACACATTATTGCGCGAATTCGTGATGAAGAAACACTGATTATTTGCGTCTGATTAAGCATAACAGTCATAAGCATGAAGCATTAAAGCGTGATAGTCATCATAATCACAGGACAAACAGTTATAATCGACAGCCACGGAGGTTTTCGAGGACAACGCAAGAGCCGTACCTGTGAAGACAGTTAATTGTGTTAATAATTATCCGTACTAGGGACTCCCTATAATTGAAAAGCTAGAGAAAGGGAGATTAGCAACGTCGGCGCTCAACTACACTACGATATTGCAACCCTTGGAGTTGGAATATCTATTTGGCTTTCTGTCCACAACATCCTTAAATAATTCTTTTCAGAATATTCCTCTTGTCACCTACACAAACATGGAAACTCGTTCTAACGCTCAAGCTCAGGCAAAGGTTCGTGGATCTCAGCATCGTTCTCTAGTCACTAGTAATTTTCTATTAGTAACCCAGTAACTTCAGTATCAACGAGAAAAGGGACAGCTCTCAGGCACAGCGACTTCAATGATCATGCGCAAAGTAAAGTAAAGGCGACTGACCCAAACGTAACCCGACCGATGTCCGCCTAACCCGGCGCGGCAGCCGCATGCATGCGCTCTGCGCGAATATATACACACGGGAACACACTCCCGCTCGGGGAGAGAATAGCGGGCAAGCAGTAGTAGAATGGGCTTGCTCGAAGCAGGCGAAGCAAAGCCAGTTTCTGGGACAATCAAGCCGAGCCGTATAACTTCCACCTGTAACAAGCTGTACATACGTGCTGTCTACTGGGTGGCGCGCAGTGGCTCAATCACTGCCGATGTGGAGGAGCAAAGGGGTAATGTACAAGATGCTGCTTGCCTCGGATAATACAACTATAATAGCTGAACTATCCCGGAAGAATGCGTTCACGAGCCGAAACTATTAATTTCGGACTACGAATACCTCACGTGATTGGTAACCACGTCACGTGGTCCACGTGAGGTATTCGTTTATTCGTAGTAACCACTGATTACTTCGTTTTATTTCGCAAGCGGGAGTTTTTTTTGTATATTATATACCTAGCGTGGATTCGAACCTAGGCGACCCACATGTTAAACTTGAACCCTAACCACTACACCACAGCAGTCACAAATTTCTTGACGCCGCGCCTTGCGCGGCGCCGTTTTCTACTGTTTACATGCACTTGCACTACTTTTTATTAGGTGACATCGGTGAAATCCGGTGACACTCGGTGAAGTGTCCTATCACGTCGTCGGACCATTGAGATTTTATAAAGTAACGGTAAGTACGCAAGATTCATAAGGAGGCCAGAGGCGCTATCATGATGACCAAATCGTCATTCGATATGCTAAATTCAACATCCACTTCACCAGGCAGCCAGTTTTGGCTGAGTAAAACAACGGCATCCAAGCGTAAGAGATTGAGGAGGCTAACCATCCTTCTCCTTCTCTTATTATAGACACCAAATCGACACCATGCCGGTCGATATCCGTAGCATACAGTGAACACATCGAGACATCTAAGCCTAGAGTGACCGTTAATGAAGGTAGACTATCTCACCCTGCCCCGTTAGGAACCCTCTGTGTGTGTAGAATTAGGGCCGATACCATTCGAGGCATCACGACAAGAACGCCTCCTCTTATACTCGCGATCTACTCCGGGGCCTGCCGTACACCAGCAACATAATGAAGAAGAGAACATACCCTCGATGGTGAACGCCACCAGCCGGCCCTTCTCCTCGATACCCAATGCATCGACGGTCCAGGTTCGGCCAACCTTCCGTACCGCTCCCATAGCAATTGAGTAGAGGAGCACTGTTGTGTTTCAGGAGAGGCCGATATCATATCTACTGCCCTGAGAATACCACTTGATACTGGGGTTCGCCCTTCTCTAGCTTCTCGTACTAAACCGATTCCGCCTATAAACTTCGATGAGGCCGCATTCGAAAGGTCCCCGCTTCACACTCGCCGCGTACTCGATCGGCGGTACGGCTTAGGTATTTCCGTACCCTCGCTAGCCGATCGGGAGGTCAAAGCACCACGTGTACTCCGACTAAAACTAGGAGAGATGATAGTGCTCACCCAGTAACTATTGCTAGAGCCTCTTCGATAGACTTCATAATGGTAGGTCCAAACACGAATGCCCTCAGCCACCATGGTACCGGAGGCCGCTCCCTGTACGTCGATACCAGCTATCCGATCGGGCGTGGTAGACCGATCAACCTCTCCCATTAAGTGGATGAGGGATGCAGGGAGGAGAACGATCGGAGTAGACAAGGCAACACTCACTAGTCCATCTGGTCTGTACAATGGGGAGCTTGGAATGGGAAGCAGACCAACCCACATCAATCATCATGTGGGCTATCGTGAAGTCGACACCTCCGATTGGACTGGAGAGAGCCGGGGGGCTAGCCCCAGGAGTCCCATGGGGCTCCGACCTAGCCCAGCCGACCGTGATGATCTCCTCGAGTCGGAGGGTCGACCGAGAGCCGCGTTGACTGTGGACGTACCATCATCCTCTGATCACGAGGAAGGGCCCGATGGACGGGACCATACCTGGGTGGAGGTTTGTCTAGATGAAACCCCAATACTAGCATTATTCTCAGGTAACCGATACCACTGCTCTCAAGTCCCCTACCGTACCTCTGGTAGAAGTAGAGGATCTAGTAGTATCAGTACTGGAAAGGTGTCTCGAGGACACCCCTCGGGGACATCATAAGGGGAGATGTCCAATCGTGGACCGCAGAGCAGCTCGTCGGTATACTCGTGATGCAGCTGCATCCCTACTGGCTGAGGTGGATAGAGGCCATGCTGTTGCCGCTCGTCCAGGCAGGTGATCGAAACCTCCGCACTCTTCCCTTCCTCAAGTATATGATGTAGTCCCATGAATCGATCGTGCTCGTCACAGCATATGAAGCGGGCACGGCAGCAGACACGACCGTCGACGTCACAAGGTGGGACGGATGCGGAACTGGAGATCCGGAAGAGGAGGGCATCGAGCATGAGGGAGACGAAGGAGGAGAGAGAGAGGAGACTCAGTATGCAATTCTAATGGATCGGAGGGCTCATACTGTTGCAGGGCTCATACATCGGCCTCCTCGAACGCCCTCCAAGAGAGGGAAGTCCATTGAGCCCGCTGGAGATGCCGTTTCCAAAAAGGAAGTGGAGGAGGAGGAACGGCGGTCCAAACACGGCATGGAGGGATGGTGAGTGTCGATGTCGGTGCAAGAGTGGGGCTTGCAGCAGTAGGACTGCAGGTACAGCTCAAGACGGGCACGGAGCCTTGTGAGGGAGAGGGCAAGGAAGGAAGAGTTAGTGCATGCCCGACAGGAGACGACTGCAGCTTTGGCCAAGATTGAAGCTGCTGCCAGGCGTCGGGTGAGCAGTTACTCAATCGTTCACTACGTTGATGGTAGTATGGACCTCGCAGGTGAACCGTCAGAAGGGACGAGTACCAAGCCACATAGTACCGCGGAGATACTCCACAACTCCCCGTGGTGATGCTAGAGGGCCCAGGAATACCTGTACGACAGGTAGGCATGGCCTAACTGTTGTCTGTAGGGTAGGCCCGAGCCCATCAGACACTACTGTGGAGAAGGGGATACTGAAAGGGATCTCGGACACTGATGAGGACAGCCTCCTCCCATCGACTGGGCTGAGCCTTTGTCTGGGAGAGGTATCAGCGAGCCCGTGCAGAAGTGCCATGTCGACCGGACGGAGTTCATCCTCGACCAGCGAAAAGAGCTCTAGCCGAAGGCTACCTTGCCTAACCGATGATGCAGGAGGGCCCCACTGGGCCATTGATGAGGACGGTACGACCGCCCCCTTCTGTGGGGGGTTATGTTGAGGCGTGTAGGCAACTCCTCTCCCCCTCGGCAGCTGGGAGCCTTTGATAGTTCTCATGCGGTACATGACAGAATCTTAGCTCAAATGGATATGCTTACTCGTACCTGTTCACCGCACGCAGAAGGCGGAGGCTTAGAACAAGACTCCTCACTGAAGGGAGGATACATTCGTCCACCCTCCCGTGGGGCAGAGTCCTGGAGGCCATTAGGGGAAAGTGAATGGATGGCGAGGGAAGGAGGCCACTACTCTGAAGATGGAGATATCACTCAAACACGTGAGGATAACATTAGACCTCCAGGTAGCTTCCATTAGCATTGATATGCAACAACTCGTCACCATCTCTCCACTCCGCAGCATTCCGGCCGCTCTCTAGGGAAGGTTGCTACGCGAACGTGCCGCTATCTCCTTGTTTACAAGATAAACACAGAGATTATGATGAGGCTCTAGGTTCTCGAGTGAGTATTTACATAAGGCAACCATTCCAAGCATGCATGGTCAATTGAACCTGGTCCCAACGTATACCTGTTCAGGATGACAGCATTAGTTCGAACACGTCGGACTGCCACACTCACGGCATAGCAGTTTATGAGCCTATTGAACGCTCGCGCGACAGGGACGATTCAACTCCATCTCGTAATGGATACGGCATGTTCCTTAACTTCATCAACCATCTCAAGCAGATGATCTCACGGCAGAGCAGTCACCGACTACATCATCGATCGAGATCATAGGATGCGAAAGTGTCACGAGCATCGTAGACGGGCTTCGCTCAGCATGCCTTATGTGTCCTCCTCCAATAGGATGTCGATATCTCCCCGGATGCAGCGGAACCTTTGCTCGACTGTCCTCGAGAAGATGCGCATGTCGGTAGCATGATGAGTGATGAGAAAGTCTCCGAGAATGAAATGCAGGAGGAGTCAGAGAAGAGTATTGATATGAGAACCGAGGTAAGGTGACTAACATCACATCGTGCGAACCCTGTCTTTAATCATGTTTCCTATCTGCTGCCTGCTGTTTCTGTATGTCAATTTTCAGAGAACCCTACAATGTGGAAGCTCATCAATGGCAATCAATGAATTGATCGCTGAATTCCTAGCCGATTGTGAATAGCAGCGAGGGTTGCTGACTCGTCCAGTCTCATCACTCTATCAGAAATGTCTGACTACCATCCTTCAGAGTTCGTGACAGCTGGGCTGTGACTCACGCTTTTCATGTGACTGATCCTATTGTGTTGCGTAAGTAACGCTGGAACGGCAACTGAGTAACGTCTAGGTGTCGGTCTGATACATTCGCAGGTGTCATAATAAGTGAGAGCTTGCAACAACAGTGTGCGCGGAATACCAAACACTTTCCATGCTAAGACCCTTCCTCTCGTGACTGTGAGTTAAACACCGACTGAGTGAACGAAACTTCATCTCATTCCTGGAATTCGCACAGCATTGTCCGAAATACGCACATGCTGAACATCCACAGACTTAGGACACCCTTGCAATTCATTGGAATACACAGTAGCCCATTCGGAAGAGGGAGGACAACGGTCCCGGTTACGAAAGTCACATATGGATTCGGAGAACTAGAACGAGCCATTGCCGACGAGGTGCTGATCGACGTTAGGCATGCCGTAACAGTGGGAGAATTCATGGCATCCGGCTCCTATGGTCAAAGTTGAGGTAGGCAACCCACTGGCAGTAGTATCTTCATCTATAGGTGTTGTAGTTAGTCGCGAGTGAGATTTCCGGAGAGCCCGGCACCGCAGTAGCGCTTTTCTAGTCAACGGTTGCCGCGGTGCTCCTTGCTGTTGGAATCGACGAAGGGGTGAGAGGTGAAATGAAACGATTTTCCTTTCTGGTCAACAGACTGATCATATCAGTAATCGAAATCGAGTGAGGGTAACGAGCCAGTGTGAACTTTCCAGTTTGCCTGCGCGTTGAGATTGGATAAATACTAATCCCCACCAACTTCACAATAACCCAAGTAGAAACGTATAATAGTACAGCATGCATACATTACAGCTCATCACAACAAGCTACGGCACCTCGCTATCAACTACCTCGACATTGCGAGGAACCTAATGCTCGGCACATAGTCATAATGTTAGCTATCAGAGCTTCCAAATTAAATATCTGTTTATATCCTCGGTTAGGCCGAGGTTCGAACCTATGCGGGATTATCATCACAAGGACTGGGAGGATACACTAACCGCGCTGCCAGTGCTGCCAGCCTCGGCCAGCTATCCTCGGCATTTTCCAAAGTTGTCCCGAGAAGTACAAGCATATGATAGCATATCTCGCTCGGTGGTATGTGTACTTCCAATAGACCATAAAGTTTCTCCCTTATCGCCTAAACTCAATGATCATCATCCCAGCCTACATACCATAGAATGGGCACCCACCTTCAACTGCTTTGGAGTCTGTTCAGTCAAGATATCCTTCACAATGTCCTCTAATACGACCTGCGTCTGACATTGCTATCTCGAGACCACGTGCATACAATACCTTCCATGGAAGCCTAGCCAGAGGCGTATTAGCATTCCGTAATGCATGGCTACCACCATTCTGGGCACTGATAGCATCTAGCTGCATAAGGCCGTAACGTAAATCTCCTCTAGATTCCGTAGCTAAGAATCAATCATCTACATCGCCATTAGCAGAGACCCACCAATAATAGTGGCTAGATGTGGATTCATTTCCACACCCATCTTAGCCTTTACCCTCTCCAGCTCGATCTTAACCACTTCTGTGGTAGGACGGGGCACTCTGATACTCATACACCGACTCCGCAAAGGAGGTATCAACGACGCCAAAGAGTCGGCATGGAAAAATATCTTCAGCACACCAACGTATCTAAGATGAGCTTGCAACTTTTCTCGGCATCAGGCCAGTACTTCTCCATAGTTCGCCTCAGACCAGCCTGAGCTGATCGACTCAAGTTGTGCGCATCGTTGACGACAACCACCCTGAATGGCACGTCTCCTCCCAAAGGAGGTGCTTGTGCCATCTCCTTGATCAGCTAACACATGGCCAAGTGAGTGTTACGATGATACGGCTAGTAGTAGCATACATGTTGTATGACAACTACATCCCTAGTACCAGCCTCAGTGGGCGTAACCTCCAGATGGTAGTTACTGTATAGGACCTATCGAGCCAAGGTAGACCGGCAACAAGGATGACCGTCTAGCACCTGGACGTCCAACATCGGCCGGGATGATGAGGCATCTTTGATTGTTCTAAACTCATGCTTAACCTAAGTTACCAACCCTTCCCCCACTCTGCTCCTCTGCTACTACTACCACTACCTTCGTGACAGCCGGTCCAAATATCTCCCTCAACAAACACTGTATTCTGAACATCCGTATCACCATCATTACAATAGTATCACGCATAGTACCTGGTCATCTTTCCCCCTCCAGTCGGACCATAGAATAGCAGATGTGGTAAGTCAGGACGACGTGCCTGCAAAGCAATAGCGTCCAGTCTCCCTGGATATCCGTCGCTATCCATCCGAATGCTTATACTCGTTACCAGTCCACGCAACTGTTGTGTAATGCTATCGTGATAAGTGAGTTCGTCGAGAGTTGTTGGCCGCTCGCTGTCGATGAGGAACGCCATACCAAAAGTAATAGGGAAAGGTAACGTAGAGATGCCTCAAGACAAGGTGACCAAGTCAACGCAGTTAACAGCGCCCACTCCCAAACATGTTACTAACGTACACAAGCCCGCTGTTGTTAGACAAAAACGACCACCATTTCTTATTGATATTAATAATAATGATAAGGCACAGAGCACTAGTGATAATGATTATGAACCTTGCAGTAGATGTATTTAGCCACGATGATAGACCCCCATAGAAGGGCACACATATCTCTAGTCCTTGATCCATTCGTACTCACTCCTATCAGCCGCCGCGGACTGTAGACTGGCATCACGTCGCCTACAATAAAGAATACTCCAATACAGCTCACTAACGTGGACTGACCTATTGAAGGCGCTTCGCTTCACCTTCAGCTCTTTACTGTGAACCCTCTCACTTCGATCATATACTTGTTCATAATCTCGCTTATCATAACCCTTGTATACCTAAGTATGCACCTTATACAGGGGGATTCGAGGAGTGCCAGGACGATCACCTGGAATGGACGGTAGATCCTATTTTCCGGATCATCGATCCACTCTGACCAATGCGCAAGCCATCCAGCCAATCTCGGCACCGTAAAAAGTATGGGGAACATATCTAAAACATTGCAGTGGTGGTGGCGGACATGAGCCGTCGTGGGCCTCCTACCGGTAGGAAAGCCCATGGCCTTATATATCAACCCAGAGTAGAAGTCTACGTTGGGATAAAGTTTTCTATCCTTGAAGTATGGATCCGACAAAGCGATACGCTCAAGCTCCATAGCAACCTCTATTAAAGGCTCTCGACCACAGATCTCGAAAACCTACAACCACAAGATGCAGCACTGGACTATATATACCTAATGCCTTACGTCCTCAGCTATCTGCCTCACAATGGTAGCTCTAGGATCATAATGCTTGTATACTCGATGACCGAAACCCATGAGGAGCTCCTTGCGCTGTTTCACCTGATGATACGGTAATCATAGTAGCATGTGTATAGGGATGTGACCTTTTCGACAAAATTAGGGACATTCTCGAGAGAGCCGATCCTCTCCAACATGCGTAATACAGCCTCGTTGGCACCACCATGGCGTGGCCCATACAAGGCCCCGGCAGCTGCGGCACAAGCTGTGTAAACATCAACCTATAGACACATACCACTACCCAATAATCAGTCTATCATTACATTGCTCGAAGTGAGATGGCGCATAGCACTAGTAGAGCAATTGAGCTCATGTTCGGCGTGTAGCACGAACAAGACGTCCAAGGCCTTCACCAGTTTTGGATGCGGCCTGTATCTCGTACCTGATCACCTACTGTCATCAAGTTAGCTACGGTAGCGTGTTGCTACCCTCATGTGAGACATCCAGCATGTATAAAAAATTCTCAGTGTAGCCCAGGTCCGAATTGGGTATATTAAAAGGCCTCCCCATACGATGCCTATAAGCCATAGCAGCCAAGGTTGTAGCTGATCCTAGTATACGAGCGATCTCCTTGTTCCGTACCTGCTCACCGAGGCGAACGTGACGTACCCAATACTGTGCGGTACAAGCCTACCGCCTTATCCTTATATATGTTCTGACTGGTAAGGGCTGGGTTGGTCTCGGGGTGCAGAGTACCAAGGGCCGCCATTGACGATACGAACATACCCATAGGATGAGCATCATAACGGAAAGCCTGTAGACATGATGATCATGCACATAGTACTGTCGCTTGATGGATCTACCGAAGTTAGAGTAGCCACATCTTGATGCAGCATGGAGTGACGCATAAGATCCTGCTCCCATCGCCTCAACTGATTCCTAGTAGGCAACTCTCCGTACCTGAGCCGTACAAGAGGTACTGGTATTAGACTGAGCCTCAGGGCAGGTCTCACTGCAAGAGGAAAGCCACCTCAGTAAAGTAGCTCTTCTCAGCTAGCTGCTCTATAGGATACCCTCTATAACGTAAAACACCGCGATTGCCGTCAATGAAGGATATGCGAGATACACAACAAGTCGTGTTCATGTACCTGAGCCGCTCGGAAGGGCATCCTAGTTTACTAATACTGTAGCGTACCCAGGGTCATAGGTTTGAATCCCCAACTGTTTGAGATCAGTCGCTCTTATCGTGTCATCCGTCACTTTGACATCTATCTTCTTACCACTTCTATTGTCGATAATAGTCAAGGTGGGAACAACATGACCTGCCACGCTGTTGAGACGGTTCATGAAGAAGGGGAGGAGGAAAACTGAACTACAATACGTTAATGGTACCGATACAGCACAACACAGCCTTGAAGAGAGTAGTGGAAAGAGGAGGACGAGTTGATCATCATCAATACGAGTTAATCGATTGATCGAATATTTATCAGAAAAGATATCAACCGAGGCTAGAACATGAAATGCTTCTCCCAGTAGCCGTAAAACACTATACGGCGATCCCTAAGGAGCGTCCTTGCTGTTAAGGCTCCTCCTCTGTCGAACAGCTGCTGCCAAAGCATCAAGCATGTCGACAGTCTGCATCCAGTTAACACATCCATCAGTGATCGACACCTGCTCGTCATGATGATCATCATGGCAGTGCAATTAAGTACAACATGAACGTACTCCATATCTTAGCATATGACGGACATCTGAGTTCGCTTCCAAGGAAGCGGATGGACCTGGCTCAGAGACCAAGGGCCCAGGAATGTTGGATGACGACGAGGGCTGAAAAGTGAGAGTAGGGTGGCATGAGGAGAATCTAGCAAGTACGTTCTTCTTCCTGAACTCTGCGATGGCTGCTGTAGACGGAGTATTCTGATTGCCTTCGAAGAGGTTCGACTCGATCATTACACCTACGGCAATTATCACAGCTACATCCTCACTAGAGTAACTTCGTGATGATACCAGAAACGTCACGACAACGAGCCTGTGATGGTGATATGATCTGCTCCTTAATGATCTCTTCAAGCACCTGATTAAAGTATAAGGGACTATACCACAAGAATGAACAACCCACCAAGGGTTGCCTCCTATAGTCCTTGTTGCTGTTGCCGTGACTACAGTCTATCATAACGCCTTGAGTGATGCCCCTTTTACTGATGATGAAATACGATGATGACTAGCAGCAGGGTACAGCACAACCCTACCTCTGCTTGGCTATACACTCGTCAACATGCTTCTTGCTGTAGTTAGGACCCGACTTCCCTCCTCTCAAGATGATATGGGCATCGGGGTTACCATGAGAGTGGACCTTGAAAAGGATGCATGACTCTTGTGTGTTAGAGCAAGCGTAAGAGAACTTACGACAGCCGCAGTCCCCTGCTTGGTAATAGAGAAGAAACAGTGAGGATGCATGGCCGACACCACAGCGTCGACACTCACATCTACATCACTGAGACAGATGAGCACGTCATGCAATGAGTGGGACCAAGACGGGACAGAGTAGGGAAAAGAACCAATTTGCATAGTCCCCTGTGGGCGCGCCATTGAAACACTCACCCGCTAGTAGAGTTCTTGAAACCGACAGGCATACTCAACCCACTACCCAGCTCTCTATGTAGCTGACACTCAGTAGTCCGAGCCCCTATTGCAGCCCATGATACAAGATCAGCAATGTATCTGAAGGCCCGCATTAGTTAGGTACTATAAGCAGTAGAGATGTGTTATTGCAGCACTCACTGTGGCGTCAATGTGTCCAGGAACTCGCAGCCTACTGGAAGGCCAAGATGAGTAATCTCCTGTAGGAGACGACGGGCAGCCCTGAGATCACCTCAAGGTATACCAAAATGATTACCAACAATAACGATTACTACCGAAGCCCAGCATTGACGTTAAAAGTATCATCAATGTTAGGATCATTGATAAGGCCCTTCCAACCGACTGTTGTACGAGGCTTCTCGAAGTAACTGTAATAGGGTGAGATGGGAGGGTAGATACTGCTACCCTACACCCTCATGATGATGACCAGATCATCCTTAAGTCGATCAGCTTCTGCCTTCAATCTCGCTGCATACCTGATGATCATAATCCTACGATCGCTAGTAAGAGCGGCTACTCACTCCTTAGCGGCCGCTGGGTCGTGAATACTACAGGGGCCGACTACGACGAGCATCCTGTCGTCCTTCTTATTGACGATATCCGATGCCTCTTTCCTCCCTTTGCTGACAACCGTCTTACCTTTTTCAGTCAGCGGGAACTCCTCTACCAACAACTGAAGTACAAGCAACCAAAGTAGAGCACACGACCCGGCCATAGACACTCACCTGAGGATAAATGAGTGCTTTGATCTTAGCAATCCTCAAATTGTCGATATCAGGATCAGTAAAATGTTCTTGAAAGTGCGGTAGCACAGATGCTTGAGATGACGGGGTACCATTGGCCTCAGTACGCCCTCTCTACAGTGACATCAAGTTCTAGAGTAATATCATCCTACTTTTTCTGGTGGCGGGTTGTCAGAAGCTCTGTCCTTAGAATCGTCCGCCGGCCGCTCAGCTCTCACTAGGTTAGTCATGAGAAAAAAGGAGCGTGTAAAAACTTGGCAACCCAAACCAGGTACTGGAAGCATGGCTTCACATAGGAGCGTGAACCTATGCTCATCCTCGTAGCTGCTGCCAACCCACATATGATAATACCACAAGAGAACTCTCATTCAACCAAACCAAACTACACAATATAGGTGTGAAACAAAGGCAGTTTACCGCCTCTTGTCCAGGATTAGAGCCCAACTAGAAATATCATCAACGTAGTATTACGGATATTAAAGTGAGCACTATGCTTAGTGTTTGCCCTTCTTCTTGCCGCCACCTCTACGCTTAGGGCCAGCGGTCATTGAAGTAGCTCCCATGGCTTCAGCGAGAGCTGAGGTTGGCCTGAAATGATAGCCGATGAACCTCTCAAGCCAAGGAAGGTCTCACTTGTTCGGGGGTTCTCTACCAGCCTGTACACCCACAGTAGGGCCATCCAGGTTACCAGTGAGGCCACCCTCCTCTGCTTCACGCTTCTTAGCAGCCGCCTCTCGACGAGCTCTCACCTAACGAGGGTGGTATTACAAAACAGGTAGGCAGTCGTTAAGTAACTAGCTCGTCCTACTTCGGCTAAACGTTGGGCTTGAGCCTTGAATTCTGAGGTTTCCCCCTTGGCCTGCTTCTCGAGGTATGCCTTGTGGGCCTGAGGTAACATCCCTATGGAAAGAATACACACCTGCCGACTACAGCCTCCTTAGCGGCAGCCTCTCGCTCTCGTCGAGTTGGTTGATGCTTCTGATCAGCTCCTAGAGGTGCTATATCATCATCAGAGTCAGCCCTGAGCCATACAGTGAGAGGCACTACTCACTAACATTGTACTCACCGTTCCTTAGCTGCTGCTGTCTTCACCTCCGGTGCCCTCTTTGCATGAGCTGCCACAGGGGCAGCAGTAGGCTCGTCGTTATCCGACGATGAATCTTCCTCCGCTTGTTGTTGCTGACGACGTTTGATCTGCAGAGACACTCGAGTCATTGGAACGTTTGTTTAGTGATGGGTACCTGCTCTACATCACGATTCCTACGGGCTACGGCATCAAAGTCATCCTCTTCGACGACATACTTCTTGCCAGCTCTACTCCCACGCCCGCCTCCACGATGGTCCACCTTATTCCTAGA